CCCTCATGTCATTTGGGCCGGTGACGCGCTCTCCTTCGACAACGTGGAGAACGTCTGGGTGCACAAGTGCACCATCGCGGTGAGTACGCTACACGTTGGCATGCACTTCCGGTTGGCCCCATAGTGTTGCCTCAACGTGGTGCTTTGCGCAGCGCATTGGGCGTCAGCACCTGGTGAGCTACCAGAAGACTAACAAGGGCATCACCGTGTCCTCCTGCTACTTTGACGGCACCACGCCGAGCTCAGCGTACTGCGACGGCAAGCAGTTTTGGATCTGGCTGTTCTGGGGCACCCACGACGAGATCACCCTCATCAACAACCACGTCGCCAACACCGCGGGCAGGACCCCCCACGCCGGCGGCTGGAGCAAGTCCCGGGTAAGGACGGAGCCTGGAGCGCAGCGGAGCGCAGTGGAGCGCAGCGGAGCGCCTGTGGAGAGCGGGGTAGGCCACCGCAAGGTGGGTCGGCCGACCCACCTCAAAATCCCGAAAGGGGAGGTGGAGGAGGAGGGAAAGGGGAGGTAGGAGGAGAGGAAAGGGGAGGTAGAGAGGGAGGAAAGGGGAGGAGAAAGGAAGAGGAAGAAAAAGGGGAGTAGGAAAGGGAGGAAAAGGAAAAGAAAAGAGAAGGAAAGAAAGAAAGGAAGAAGGCGGAGGGAGATATGTAGAAGGGTCTGTTTACAATACGTTTAGGTCCGTGGTCGCTAACAAAGTAGTTTTACCCTGCATGACTACTTCGAAAACCCAATCCATCGGGCTCATATAAACATTCCATCTGTAGGCGACCTGATGTCCGTCCACATTTGCATTTGTTTCTCTGGAAGCGAAAGAGGTAACACCTTAATTTTGTTAGGGTGTAGGGTAGGAGTACATCCCGCTATTTTTGCTCAATTTTGGCGCGCTAAAAATCCGATTTTTTTTCGCTCTCGCTACGCTCACGGTCATATTTACTGGGGAAGTGCGTAAATTCTGCTTCAGTGCAGCTATCTGTTTTTACGGCTGCTCTATAAGATTTATTTAAGCGCTCAAAGTAGCATCTTTGTGCTCCTATGCCCCAAAACTTTTTCGCGCTCGCTTCGCTCGCGGCTTTTACTTCATGTTGCAATGGAACTCTGGAAACGCTGGAGTGAGACAGTCTCACACCAAATGGTGTGAGGCAAAATACCTCACACCAAACGGTGTGAGGCAAACATACCTCACACTAAATAGTGTGAGAATAGTTGTGCCTCACACCAAAAGGTGTGAGACCCTCTGTGCCTCACACCACTCGGCATGAGGAATTATCACTCCATTTGGTGTCGAGGGGGTATTCACTTGCGTAATACCCTGTACACTCCACCTGGGTATTACTTGTAATGTAATACCGAAAAATAACAAAAATGCTATAAATTGGCAAAATTTTGCGTGTAATACCGGCGTAATACCCGGTAATACCAGGTTATTCTGTGTAATACCGAGTACTCTGTACAAGTTTTATGGTAGTGAATACCCCCTCGTTTGGTGTAAGGCACAACGAGTCTCACACCATTTGGTGTGAGGCACAAGGAGTCTCACACCACTTGGTGTGAGGAATGTTTGCCTCACACCGTTTGGTGTGAGGTATTTTGCCTGGCACCATTTGGTGTGAGACTGTCTCACACCCGAGTTTCCAGAGAACTAGAGGGACAGGTCATTCTGTATTTTATGTCGGTCTTTTTCTGAGGGATGTAATATTAGTCCAACTGGTACAACTGCTGCTGTTCTGTGACACGGAAATGGTCTGGAAAAACTGTCCCTCCCGGGCTTAAATAACACTGATCTCAAAGTCTGCACTATGCGCTATTTCTAGCCAATATTTGGAGCTCCAGCAAAAAA